ATGAAAAACTATGTTAACCTGCGCAATCAGTCTCAGGCCTGTGCCTCGGACCCATTGTTCCTCACCGATTGTGGTATACCTCTCCACCGTGACTATTTTATTCATAAACTACATCAAACTCTGGCGGCAGCAGGATACGACTACAAGAAATTCAATGGACATTCTTTTAGAATCGGAGCAGCCACTTCTGCAGCTGCAGCTCATGTACCAGACCATATGATTAAAGCCTTAGGATGCTGGAAATCAGACTGCTATGCTCGGTATATCAGAGTCGATAAGGGCTCCATAGCTGCAGCTCAGCGCAATATTGCTCATACTTAGCATGCTCAGCAGCCTGTTTATCCATGGCTATTACATTGTGTATATACTCTTTGTAGCAGTTTCTATGCAGGCAAATTCTTTGCTTCAGTGATAGTGCACTTATCTACAGTCAAATCTTATGGTTGACTCTTACTTTGTCTGACCTTGTCAATCTTCTTCAGAGTAAGCCTTGGCGTTATAGTCCAAGTCCAATGTTGTTCAGGCGTAATAATCCTATATGCCATTACTAGGTATTATTTTCTTTATGGGGTATTCTCAGCCAGCTGTATCATGGTATTTTATTTTATCCACATCTGGCTCGAATTGTGGCCTTACTATCCTCCTCAAATTGCTGGGATAGTTCCCCCTAAAGTTCAATAATCCACATCCAACTTGTATGCTACTTGTATTCTCATTTATCGCACCATTTTGTACCGTTCTGTGTAGTCACTCGCTGTGCTCTGAGGCTCAGAACTATAGCCAGCGTTTGATCCCAATGCTTGGGCAGGACCGATGCTCGATCATGTACACACTTAGTGCCAACGATTTAGCCGTCCAGTTTTGCCGTGTCATGTTATTATTTGCAAGTGGCCAAATCGTTTCCAATTCTTGGCATGATTGATGCTCAATCATGGGCACCCTTAGTCATACCTGAGAATTCCCCATACGCCAAATTTATAATTTTGTTTTTTATCATAATAAATGTTTGAAACTACTTTGTGTTTGGTTGTCGTTATAAAAGAAAGACATGTTATTCCTATTTTCTCAGATATTCAGTGAGTTACAAAACTTAGCAGTCACCTTCATCACATAATTAGGAGTCAGTTTTGAATAAATGGTAAGAAAACATTGATTTTTCACTACCCCATTCTTATCAAATGTGCTCCATAGCTTAACAGTCAAATTAGTTATTATTCTTTTGAACACTCCTTTCCTTTAAAGGTACTTGTTATTGAGTTGCATGACTCAATACGTATCAATACGTCAAACTTCCATTCATTTGAAATGTTCTCAAAGAGGATAATTTCATCAACACCAAAAATGACTGTCACGAAGCACAGTCGCATCCATAAGAAACCACAATCATACAGATTCCATCAGGTAGTTTGATGTCACCAAGACACCTAGACCATGGCCTTGAGAGGGAGAAGAGACATCTTCTTGCCAACCAGAAAGCAGTGAAGGATTATTATAATGCTGTTTCACCTCTAGTTAGACTGGGAATTATGTATATGGAAATGCTAAATGCGAAATTGGAAACAAAGACAATTTTTTGTACAGTGTTCAATCTTCTTATCTATTGGACTTCCACTTTAGTGGAAGCCTCGGTGGCTGAGTGGGTTAGAGCGCTGACTTTGTGTAATGTAGATATGGTGTCTCACTCTGGCAGAGTGGATTCGAATCCCTGATGAGGCTTAACCTCAAAAAGTACCTAGAAACTGTATTTTAATAAGAAACTGTTATCCAAAATATAACATTTGTTATATTTTTTATTAATTGCTTATTTTATATTTTCTAGTTAACGAATGCTGGATGTACGTTTTTACTGTTGTACAAGTAACAACATACATAGCACTAAAACTAAGATGTGGAAGTAAGAACCTGTCTCTTGTGTACTTTTGTATCGTTAATCATTATCATCGTCCACCGTTTCACAACATCTTTTTAAAATGACCCAACAGCTTAAAGACAATTGGGATTATCTCTTGGCCAGTTGCTGTACAAGTAGGCACCGTTTTCAGCCAATGGAAACATTTGTCATGCACCGCTGCGCCATTGCGCCTCTAGTTTTTTGGACATGCCCCAAAAATATTTTTGGTTTTGAATCCCATTATAGAGCAAGCGATTTTAGCACTTTTACTTAGACGTTTCAATACTCTCTGCGAATGTAATGATATTTCTTTTCTTGGGAATTGACTTAATATTTATATCCGCAACAAAATCGCAATCAATTACTTGCCCTTGAGGCCCATGCAAACAACTTACATTGTAGTACATGGCCTCATATTGGAAAGAGATTATAAGATCGAAAGTGTTGACAGTTCAGATCTTTTCTACCATTTGTATTCGTTATGACGACACAAGTATTCTGAAATAACAGGATTTGCCCGAGCATCTTAATACTGGGAGTCTGTATGACTCATTAGCTACACTACAGGGAGTTATAGGTATTTCGTAGGGAGTAATTTCAACAAAATAGGAATTGGTGTTACTTTTAGTAATAAATATATTTTATCATCCGTAAAAATATTATCTTGTTTCTCTAATACTGCTTTTTAAATAATGTTGTTATGTTTATCTGCTCACTACCCATTTGTTGATCTAATAAAATCGTAATGCTCAATATTTGTTATTATATTTGCAGATAACTTCTTGATATAGGCCTATTAGTCGACTTCTGTATGCCTTGTATCTTTTTACATGATTATGTGACTCGCCAGCCTCGGTAGTTTACAAAATAAAGTATCAACAACGTCTTTACTTATGTCGGGTTTTTTTAAACATTATCGGGAACAATAACGAATTCAGTTGACTTACAAAAATCAATATATTTCTTTCCTAAAGTCACGTCGCAAGTGGTAGTCTGTTGTCTCGCAACTTTGGGTACTATACTGATTCGTACTGTTAAAAACAAACAACGTGTTTTGCTTGAGCAATTCTTCTCGCAACGCCCGCTGCAATTTCGGTTGTTTCATTTCAACAGTCGCTGGTATCTGTGTCAGATAACTTTGATTTTTTTACAAAGGTATAAGGATATATCCCGCTCTTCACATTATGTAAAGAACTTACTATCATGAGTGAGTGAATGAGTGAGGTTTTACGCCGCTTTTAGCAATATTCCGGCAATATCACAGCGGGGGACACCAGAAATGGGCTTCACACATTATACCCATGTTGGAATTAGAACCTAGGTTTTCGGCGTGATGAGCGAACACTTTAACCACTAGACTACCCGACCACCCCTTTCAATCATGTGCCTGAGGGGTGGATCTCTTCAAACTGTTAGGGGGGGGGGGGGGGGGGGGGGGGGGGAGGTGTAGCCGAGTGGATAAGGTGTCGACTCTTCACGCCAAAGACCCCATTTAAATTCTTAACATTGGTACAATGTATGTAACCTATTTTCTGGTGTACCCTGCCGTGACGTGATATTGCTTGAATATTGCTAAAAGCGGCGTAAAACCATACTCACTTTCTCACTCACTCAAACTGTAGAAAATATATTTGAAGTATAATTATGAAAACGTCTTTGAATAGGGAGAAATAAGTATTTCTAAATGCTAGTGAGAACAGGATAACCCTATAACAATTAATGTCAAGAACATAGTGACTAATGAAAATACTCTAAGGCATTGTAAATTCAACAAGATCTCAATCAATACATAATACACTAATTCTGCATATATTTAGCTCAATGTTGAATTTAACAATGAGCCATCATGATTTGTTTTTATTACTTATTTTGGATGCTGTAGTCCCAAGCATTCTGTGCTTGTCGTACCAGGTGACTAAATTGTTTGCCTGTGACGGACCGATTATTTACTCACCGCTGTCATTTTGTTGAAACATAGATGAATAAATGATGACTAAAGATGACTCACTGGTTTGCCTGTGACAGACCCGATTGTTTACACACCGCTCTCATTTTGTTGAAACAAAGATGACTAAATGATGACTAAATATGACTAACTGATTTGCCTGTGACAGACCCGATTGTTTACACACCGCTGTCATTTTGTTGAAACAAAGATGACTAAATGATGACTAAAGATGACTAACTGGTTTGCCTGTGACAGACCCGATTGTTTACACACCGCTGTCATTTTGTTGAAACATAGATGACTAAATGATGACTAAAGATGACTAACTGGTTTGCCTGTGACAGACCCGATTGTTTACACAACGCTGTCATTTTTTGAAACATAGATGACTAAATGATGAATAAATATGACTAACTGGTTTGCCTGTGACAGACCCGATTGTTTACACACCGCTGTCATTTTGTTGAAACATAGATGACTAAATGATGACTAAAGATGACTAACTGGTTTGCCTGTGACAGACCTGATTGTTTTCACACCGCTGTCATTTTTTGAAACATAGATAACTAAATGATGACTAAAGATGACTAACTGGTTTGCCTGTGACAGACCCGATTGTTTACACACCGCTGTCATTTTTTGAAGCATAGATGACTAAATGATGACTAAAGATGACTAACTGGTTTGCCTGTGACAGACCTGATTGTTTACACACCGCTGTCATTTTGTTGAAACATAGATGACTAAATGATGACTAAAGATGACTAACTGGTTTGCCTGTGACAGACCCGATTGTTTACACACCGCTGTCATTTTGTTGAAACATAGATGACTAAATGATGACTAAAGATGACCGACTGGTTTGCCTGTGACAGACCCGATTGTTTACACACCGCTGTCATTTTGTTGAAACATAGATGACTAAATGATGACTAAAGATGACTAACTGGTTTGCCTGTGACAGACCCGATTATTTACACACCGCTGTCATTTTGTTGAAATATAGAGTTAGACGTGGAAGAAGAAACAGGCAAAACTGCTATTCTCCCAAGAGCCAAGATATTGTCTTTGCGAAAAATGGAGAAGGAATAACTTAAAAGATCTAACAGAAAACAACAACTTATTCTTGTTACAAATAATTGTAAGATTGTACGTCATTAGGAAGGCCTTTCCATGGATCCTGAATGGAATGAAGACTCTGATGTCGTCCTATCTGAGGAAGATGATGATGAAAAGGAAGATGACGATGAAACGGACGACAGTTATCACTCAGCAGAAAGTCAGCCTGAAAGTGGAGAAGTGTTGAGTGACAAAACAGTCCCTGTGAAGGATGACAAAACCTCCGCCTGTGAGACACGCAGTGACTCTGACAGTGGAAGAGCTGCAGTGTCTTCAGACATTGTCCATACTCCTCCCCGGAATCTGCCAACAGATCAACTATGTGAAGGTCGCAGGTTATTGACAGTTGGTGGAAATGCCCTTGATGGAAGAGTCTTTGGAAGTAAGTACTCTCATTGTGGCCAGGACCATAAAACTTAATAAAATCACAATGTATAGTGGCACCTTATGTATAACAGAAATCTTTAAACAGGTTGTCTCATTGTATTCCATTGTTATTGGTTATGAAGTCTGATTTTATAATCAGTATACATGTATTCGGTAATGTGATTCAAAATACAGAACATCACTTCAGTTCTTGACAAAATGTTCATGTGGCAGTTGTATCTTAATTGTACACAATATACCAATCTAATAATCACTGTTGTTTTACTTCCTCAAGAAGAGGATTGTGATGTGCAAATTCCAGAGGACACATTCAAGGAAAACAAAGGTCAGCAAAAGTATTTTGAAATTATAATCCACTTTGGTATTTCTTAAGATCAGGTACATCAAAATTGTTATAAAGGTTCGAATAGGCTATTGCACAGCATTTTGTTTTCCAAATGGAATAAACTTTGGCACATGTGTAGTTAGTAGTGGGGTATGATCTATGTGTTCTACTTTTGCGATATTTTACGTTTTGAAATATACACAAAGAAAAAGGTTAAGCACACCCCTATTTCTGAACCATGACAAATGGCAAAAATCATGGCATAGGATGACTGACCACAGGAGCTGGGCAATACCAATGTTATCGGATAGAACAAACATTTGACAACAAATAAAGAAGATATTGGGGAGTTGTGATTGAAATTTACTGTCAAAAAAACAGGTACTGTTTTTGACCTCAGACAATATGTCAAAAAAAGTATGGAGCTTCAGGATTAAGTAAACGAGTTACATTTGATGTTTTATGTGAAAATGTTCCTTAATAACCGCCACGTACCCGGATGACGCATTCCACCCTGCGTCTCATGCCTTCAGTCAGATGTAGGATCTGTTGATGGGTCAACAACAACAACATTGTAGATATCACTTCAATGAAATTGCATCACAATACTTTGCAGACCACTATGACGTCATTGGTTACCATGACGTCACAATCAAGTGACATCACAAATGGCTCTGCTACTGAAGCTGTTTGCCTTACTTTTTTACACTAAGACACTGCTTATTACTGTCTACAAACTAAAAAAGTTGGAAGAATTATGTTTGATGATGAATAATATCTCACCCTCGTGTCTTTTGATAGCAAATATATCAACACTCGTTGGTAAAAGTGGGAAAACTACTCGGCAAGCTTCAGAGTTTTTCCACACGAGTTGATATGTTTGATGTCAAAAGACGAGGTGAGAGTCTCTATTCGTTGACATGTATACTGTTGACATATCCAGGTGAGCTTCAGTGCCGTAGCATTATTGTTAACATATCTATTTGATTTTATATATTTCTTCTTATCCTGTATTTGCCTTGTGAATTGTGTGTGTTTCTTCCTTTCGTTTGTGAGTGAGTGAGCTCATCACAATCTGTGTACGAATCTGAGTATGTTAATGTTTGATACATGATTTCTTACTTATTATGCAGGAGGTGACACATCTGTATTGGACACATCCATAGGTGAGTTGTGTTCATATGATACTATTATTATCCCCCGTCACGAAGTGGAAGGGGCATATAGGAATGGGTGCCGTCCGTCACATTTCGTTTCCTGAGCAGATTTTGAAAACCGTACTATATTTCTTCATCAAACTTGGCACATAGATAGGTCTAGTGGTGAACTGGTGCCTTTTGATAGTTTGGGATTTAAAAAAATAATATTTTTCAAGTTTCCATGGCAACGACTTTGATATAGACTGAAAATGGCGGTAGTCCTCGTTTCCGGAGCAGATCTTGAAAAACATACTACATTTCTTCAGCAAACTTGGCACATAGATAGATCTAGTAGTGAACTGGTGCCTTTTGATAGTTTGGGATTTTTAAAAAAATTACTTTTTCGAGTTTCCATGGCAACGACTGATTTAGACTGAAAATGGCGGCAGTCCTCATTTCCGGAGAAGATCTTGAAAACCGTACTGTATTCCTTCATGAAACTTGGCACATAGATAGGTCGAGTGGTGAACGGGTGCCTTTTGATAGTTTGGGATTTTAAAAAAAATTATTTTTCGAGTTTCTATGGCAACGACTTTGATTTAGACTGAAAATGGCGGTAGTCCTCGTTTCCGGAGCAGATCTTGAAAACCGTACCATTTTTCGTTACCAAACTTGGCACATAATGTCATCTCACAGTATTGAATACATTTCCTTTCTTGTCGGTAAGTTCTGCATTGCTTGAGTGTATGTTCCTCCAAAAGTGTCATGGACACAGTTGTTGCATTCTCTGACTAACTTCATACAGAAACACAACTCATTACAAATACAACAGTGTAACTGTAAACCTACTCAACTGTATAGACAATATATATTCTTGTCAACCATACTCTGTACTTCACTTGCTTGATAATGGTGTTAGAACCTACACCGAAACCATCGCTCCTAATTGTAATAAAGAAGTTGTTCGTCCATATGTCTCATCCTTACTCATTACAAATTCAGTAAAATATTCTATCATAAACTGCAGATGGAAAAACAACACCAGTAATAACTTTTTCTTAGTGCTGCAGTGAGGCCATTTACAAAAAGGCCCAGTGAACATAGTTCACAGGAGCTAATGCATTGCACACACCCGACATGTCATATTGACGGGAGATGTGAGTATTTCATGCTTGTTATTACTCACCTGTGGGGATTCTGGGTAAGGATAAAGGTCCCCAGCAACCTATACCTGTTGTAAAAGGTGACAAATTAAATGGATCGAATTGTGACAATGTTCATTCCATGTCATCACACCCAAATTGTGTGGATCAATCCTCATGCTGTGAATCACTGCACTGTTTGGTGCAGACTTGATTATTTACAATTTAGCTGGGATATACAAATAATTACAGAGGTATATCATTGTTGAACACTTTGAATAAAATATTCTCTACGATAATAGATAATCTTGTTAAAAGGTGGATATCCTCACAAACTTCATTGTCGGAATGTCAAACAGGTATCAGATAAAATTATTCTACTATTGATCAGGCCTTTACTCTTTATTTATTGATTCAAAAGCATCTCAGGAAAAAAGGTTGACATGTTTACTGTATATTTGTAGATTCATAACAAAGCCTTTGACTCTGTGGATTGACTGAAGTTATTGTATTTATTGCTTAAATCTGGTATTCACGGAATCGATTAATATATAATTGGTACAAAAATGTCTAACCATCTGTACGAGTTAACAGGTATGTAAGGACTGATATGGTTACAACAGAAATAGCCGTTAGGTTGCATATTGTCACCTGTTCTGTTCCTATTGTATGAAGAATTAGTTAAAGAAATAACCTCAAACGACAGTATGGGAATCTTTATTGACGACACCATTCATGATTTATCTATACTGTTGTTTGCTGACAATGTTGCTATCTTCGTTGTATTGTTGCAGAAGATAATTTATAGGTGAATATTGCTTTAAATGGGGTTCATCCATTAATGTAAGTAAGACGAAAGTAGTAGTATTAAATGTCAAGAACTGAGAAACACATGAGAAATGGACAATTAATGGAAGCGCCATAGAGGTAATCTCATACCATAAATATCTAGTGTATTATCTTTTCCTGCAGAGACCCTTGACGACCCTGTGTAGAATATGTCTTCAACAACCGATGCTTGCTGTAAAATGCGACAAACGGGATCGGGTTGTCAGGCTCGCTGACTTGGTTGATGCATGTCATCTACCAACAATACTACGATATCAAAGAGTCGAAATCCCTAACTTACTATTCAGATTTCAAGCTTCAAATCACGCCAGAAAGATATCTTGTAGGCTTAAAAAAACATTAAACTTGAGCCGACTATTAACAAAATGTAGATGTAATTGTCATGATTTGCATATCAGAGCCCCCAAACTCCTGAAACAGAAAATACTACATATTTTTACTACCACCATGGTACAGAGTGAGTGAGGAATGAGTTTGGTTTTACGCCGCCTTTGGCAATATTCCAGCAATATCAAGGTGGGGGACACCAGAAATGGGCTTCACACTTGTACCCATGTCGGGATTCGAACCCGGGTCTTCGGCATGACGAGCGAACGCTTTAACCAATAGGCTACCCGACCGCCCCCAATCGTACAGAGGATGAATAGCATGTGTTAATAATTTGCCCAGAACCAGTGACATAAGAATAAAGTATTTTGTAATCAGGCCCTTTTATGAAAAGTTTCTGATACCAATGCAGTCTGGTGACGATAGTCTCTTAATTAAGCTATCTCTATTACTGCATCATATATTTCGCAAGAGAACAGTCCGTTTGTGAACAAATGTCTTCGTTACTTGTACAGCATATATTAAGGCTCATTCGTTGTAACATTTACGCCTTAATTTAGACATAATGTACTATTAGTCGTCTCGGCACATACACGAATAAACTGTCTGTCTTGTCTGTCTGTCACAGTGTTACTGTGTACGATATATTATTCAAGAAAGGATTTTGCTTAATGACTATGAAATGTGTTTTATGGATTTTATTTACAGCCCCAACACCTATCACAGTCACTGGTGCATCTCACAGTAATTTGAACCAGAACCTTGCCATAGGCATAAACTATGGGTCTGTTGTACAATCTGGCGGTAAGTCCGTTTACCACATGTCTGTAAGTCTTTAGTCAAGAAGAATGTAGGTCATCGGCCCTTATTCTCACTGGTGGTTCATCGTGATTTGTATGCAACACTGATATACTGTGGTTGCCAAAATACACTATGTACACTATATAGTGTATTATGTGGGAATTGAATACTTAACCTATAAGGAGTCTCTCAAATGGTTTGTATGGTAGACAAACACGGCGAAGTGTTTGATGGTGTTCACAGGAGAATATTAAAATTATGAATAGACAGTTGCACTATATACGTTTTAGGTATATTTTTCTTGTGAAGAAAATAATATTTTTCAGATCCTAATAAAAGGACCTTCTTCATAATTATTTTTGCAATGTATACACCACCTTTATTCTCTATGTATGTTGTAATAACATACAGTCTCAACCTTAGATGGCATGAACTGCTACGAAATCTTGCTAGTACCTGTCTTAATTGAGAAAGAGAGATTTATTTGGAGTAACCTGACCTCACTGCATCTTCATTTTTCTATACCTTTGAAACTTTGACAGTAATGACCAAACGACGAAATGAGAAATCCTTTCAAATGTCTTTTTGGGGAAACAAACTACATATGTACATTGATTCCATAAGTTGAATCTTCCAATAAACCTAATTGGAATATTTTTTACTTATCCTGCATTACTCCTTAATGCATTCCCTGCTTACCTTTCGACAACAAAAGACAGTGCACCGCGACGGTTTTGGGTGAAGAAAGTTGTTTCACATTCCACTCCCTTGCTTTAATACGGACCATCGCCGCTGTCATGTGACCTTGATGACAAGTCAACTTCCTCTGATCACTGCCTGTCGCGATCCAGCAAGGACATGTCTCAGCGGAGCTCTATAAATTGGATAATTTTAGACTTTCAGCTTCGGATATATACGCTTCAAAAAAAGAAACTTGACACTGATTTTCAAAATGTAATATAATGCGATTGTTTCAAAACAGGACACAGAAACCATAATTGAAACACTGTTTGAAGATCAATGTACACAATGTTCAAAACATTAATCGTGTCACCTAGACAGACACACGTACACGATACAGTTAATGTCACAGGGGTACAGAAAATGTCAGTTTCGGTTGTGCCCACCACATGCATCGGAAGTGTTTGTGGCGGTGGATTCCTTCTGCGAACGCGTCGATCCAGCTCGTCCCACAGATGCTCAATCGGGGACAAATCTGGTGACCAGACTGGCCAAGGTAATGTCTGGATGTTGTTATTCTGTAAGAAGTCCTGACAAACACATGCAATATGCGGTCGAGCGTTGTTCTGCTGGAACTGTCGGGCATGAACGTTGATGTGAGGAAGAACGTAAGGCTGTAGGATCAAGTCTCTGTAACGCACACCTGTTAATGCACCTGCCACATGCACGAGAGGCGTCCTACAACCGTGATGAATTCCGGCCCATACCATGACACTCCCGCTGCCAAATGGGACAACCTGCTGCACGCAGTTAGGGGCGTAACGTTCATCCCGACGTCTGTCGACACGTGCACGCCCATCAGCACGTGTGTGTAGGAAACGGGACTCGTCAGTAAACAGTACATTTCTCCACCTTGCACGTGCCCATCTAATCCTCTGTTGGCACCAAAGCAGACTGTCCGCCAGATGACGTTGGGTCAATACATGACGTCGAACAGGTCTTCGTGCAAAAAGTCCAGCCTCCCTCAGTCTGTTGCGTACCGTTTGATCTGATATTCTGCGTACCCCAGGGATCTGTGTGGTTGTAGACGTGGCTGTGGTAGTGCGGTCTCGGAGGTTTTGCAGGCGGATGTATCGATCTTGTGCTTGGGTTGTCACACTTGGTCTTCCTGACCTTGGTCTGTCGTCAACTCTGTTGGTGTTGTTGTATCGAGTCCACAGTGCGGAGATTGTCTGTCTGGATACACCAAAGTGCCTGGCCACTTCTTGCTGAGTTGCTCCAGCTTGTAATCTCCCAATGTTGTTGTTCCGTTGAGCTGCATTCAGTCTTGGCATTCTGTCACCGTCTCTACTGCCGTTATAAGGACTGTATAAACAGTCCGCCAATAGTGTTGGCTGGTTATTAGCGGTACGGAAGACTCCCGAGTTAGCTCCCTTGTCTTCGCTCTTCTCTCTCTCATTTGTTTGTACTCGCCTCGTGGTTTTCGAAAATAAAACCTCTCGCAACCGAAAAGCCTCTCCATCTTGTGTCCCTATCGTCAGTGGTCTAAGAGTGTCCGTCAAACCCCACTGGCGTGGTGGCAGCGCTACAGACAAGTTCCCACACCTGACATTCGGTTGGATTGTGCAAAACACTCACAATCGCTTCACAGCAGATGATCGGTCAGTATTGCTTTTACTGGATAGCACAAGTTACACCCTCATCATGGCTAATACTACGAGAGCACCTAAACAGTGGTGTTTAACCAAACACGAGACAGTTAATTCATTTGAGAACTGGCGTCAAAATCTTTTGTACACATTGTCACTAGATCGGAACATTTTTCTCCATTCCTAGCGACAGGTGCCACATGGCTCAAGAAAACTGCCCATGCTCCCTTGCGTGGATTTACCGATGATAATGAGGAGGTTCCCGTCGCGTTGCGACGAACAGCTCTACAAAAGGTCAGTGCCCTGGAACTTATACTTGGACAAGTAGCTAATTATTGCCCAGTTATCTCAAGGAACACTATGGTGAAGAATTCTACATCAATTGATCAGATCTGGCAAGTTATCAGACTCCATTATGGATTTCAGTCTACCGGAGCTCACTTCATAGACTTTTCTGACATTAAGCTTGACCCTGAGGAACGCCCTGAAGATTTATATCAGCGTCTCATGGCCTTTATTGAGGACAATCTCATGCGTCGGGAGGGTGCTATTACGCACCATGGTGTGATAATCGACGAGGACGAGGAACTTTCTCCTACTTTAGAGAACTTTGTTATACTCACATGGCTACGATTGATTCACCCTGAATTGCCAAGACTGGTCAAGCAAAGATATGGTACTGAACTACGCTCACAGACTTTAGCTTCCATCAAACCGGAAGTCTCGCAGGGGCTTTCACCTCTCCTAGATGAGATACGTACAGGGGATGACGTGAAGATTATGAGGGCCGCAGCGTCCTCAGATGGCAACCGATCGCGAAGATCTCCATTTACCAACAGACCTCCAAAGACCTCCCCTCAACCCCCAAACAAGATGTGCCCTCTGTGCAGTCAAGCTGGACGTTCAGACATACGTCACTTTCTCAGTGTGTGCCCACACCTACCAGAACATGACAGGAAATACATGACAAAGGCTCGACAGATATCCCACATTTTGGACATCAATGACAATGAGGAGACAGAGGATGCTTTCACCATTGACCCCTCAACATTATCTAAGTCTACAAACCTCTCAGCACTAAGGATTCAGGTCCGTCAATCACCGTAACTAGATGCTTTCCACCATCATCATGGTGTTCGCCTCACACTCGACTCTGGAGCAACCGGCAATATGATTCGCCTATCAGCCGCAATACGTCTAGAGGCTAAGATTACCAAGTCATCACAGTCAGCCCATCAAGCAGATGGAAGTCACCCCTAGAAGTCGTTGGAGAGACCTGCATGACATTTGCGGGCGATGACAAACAGTATTTGTTCGAAGGCTTGGTGGTTAAGGACCTCGATGTCGATGTCATTGCAGGAACCCCCTTCCTTGAGTGCAATGATGTGTACACTTGACCAGCTAAACGACAAGTGCACGTCGGGGACAATGCCACATATACTTATGGCTCTACCGACGAACCAACCACTCGTCACACTGTGCGGCGTGCAAGCCTCTTACTTGCTCCCCATGTTGCTACAGTATGGCCTGGCGAATATCTGGAGGTAAGCCTTCCCGACGACATGTACTCTCAAGATGGAACCGTGGCAGTTGAGCCACGTATCGACTCTAGACAAGTGACTACAAAAGACGACTACATGTGGCCTCCACCTAGCCTCTTAGCAAGTGTCTCAGGCAGGATCCGCATCCCAAATTTGACAGATAGTCCACAGACCGTGAGACGACATGAACACTTTTGTCAAGTCAGACCAGTTGCTACCCTACCGGACAACAATGCAACAGCCCATGACCATCCAACTTCGTGTCTTAAAACCTCAACTGTTCATCACCAGGGAGCAAACTACTCTAGCGATGTCAAGTTAAACCCTGATTCTACTATTCCCCCATTGGTAGTGGCCAGTTTCAAGTCGCTTCTTGAAGAGTATGACACTGTTTTTGACCCGCGGTTCCAGGGTTATAACGGAAAGTCGGTTCCATTCCAAGCTGTTGTGAACATGGGACCTGTACTACCGCCGCAGCGCAAAGGACGTGTTCCCCAATATTCCAGGGACAGACTTTTAGAACTACAGACAAAGTTCAACGAACTCGTAGACTTGGGTGTCTTTGTCAGACCTGAGGATGCCAATATATGCGTAGAGTACCTAAACCCATCCTTCCTAGTCAAGAAGTCTAGCGGAGTCTTGGTCACTGCCTTTGCAGATGTTGGACGTTACAGTAAGCCACAACCATCCCTGATGCCTGATGTTAACTCAACTTTACGCCAAATAGCCCAGTGGAGACACATTATTAGCACAGACCTCACAAATGCCTTTTTCCAGATTCCACTCTCACGTGAGTCTATGAAGTACTGTGGTGTAGCGACCCCCTTCAGAGGAGTGAGAGTCTATGCCAGGTCAGCCATGGACATGCTGGGGTCAGAGACTGCTCTTGAAGAGCTCATGTGCCAGGTGCTAGGAGACTTACTTGAAGAGGGAGTAGTTGCTAAACTTGCTGATGACTTGTACTGTGGCGGGGATACCCATGAAGAGCTCTTACATACATGGAAGCGTGTCTTACAGGCCCTACACCGGAATGGTTTCCCTCTGTCAGCCGCTAAGACTGTTATCTGTCCGTCTACGGTCATGATTCTGGGTTGGATATGGAACCGAGGCACCATTCACGCTAGCCCCCACC